ATTCTGTCAGGTTCAAATCCCCAGAGGATCTGCATCTGGACAGATCCCCTAGAGGATCATTCTGTTGGGTACAAACCCGTAGAACATCATTCTTTTGGGTCTGACCCAGGACTCCCCCCAGCACACCCCAGCATCATACACTCACATACAAAACCCTAGATCATCCTTCTGTTGGGTCTGACCCACCACAGCATCAGTCTGTTAGGTCCCAACCCTCAGCTCATCATTCTATCTGGGCCAACCCCCCAGAGGATGTTTCTGTCCTGCACAAAGCCCCACAACATCTTTCTGTCATTCCCAATGCCCAGAGCATCGTTCTGTTGGGTTCAAACTGCTAGAGCATCCTTATGCCAGGTCCAAACCCCATAGCACCATTCTGGGGGATCCAAAACCACAGAGCTTCATTCTGTTGGGACCAATGCCCAGAGAAAATTTCTGTAGGGCCCGACCCACTGGAGCATTGTTTGTTGGTTCCAAACACACAAAGCATCATTCCATTATGTCCGATCCACCACAACATAGTTCTGTCAGGTCCAACCCCCAGAGCAATGTTCTTTCAGTCCCAACCACCCACTTTTGTGTCCAAAGCCCCAGGTCATCGTTCTGACCCCAGGTCAGACCCCCCCACAGCATCAATTTGTCAGGTCTGTCCCCCAGACCATTGTTCTGTACAGTCTAACCCCCCAAAGCATCATTCTGTCATATCATAGCCCCCCACAGCATTGTTCTGTTGGGTCAACACCCCCAGAGCATCAGTCTGTTGGGTCTGACTCCCCACATGATCATTCTGTCGGGTCCTATGCCCCAGGACATCGTTCTGTCAGGTGAAAACCCGCAGAGCATCATTCTTAGGGTTCAAACACAGAGAGCATCAATCTGTCCATTCTAAACCCCCACAACATAGTTCTGTCAGGGCCCAAACCCCAGAGCCTTGTTGCTGGTCTTACATGCCTCATATGTGTGCCATGTTACAAGAGCTAAGGGAATAGGCAGGTTTTATATAAGAGTTAAACCAGGGGGCCAGATGGAGGGCGGGAGGTTCCGTGGTCTTATTCTTCATTTATCAGGCAGGGAGGATATTGGGAGAAGCCGAGGAAAAACATCTGCAAACAGTAAATCCAGGTCTGGCAGGATTGATTACATTCCCTGTTTATTGGACAAACAGGAGATCAGGAGGGGTCAGATTCTGTTTGGACATTGAGAGTGGGCAGGGGCTACAAGGCACTGGTGGGGTTGAACAGAGACAAAATGTCAGTTTCCAACAAGATGGAGTCTTTATGCTGAAGAATGTGAAAAATCACATTTTCTATGGGCTTCTTAAATTGGCTCTCCAGCCTGACTAGGCTTAACAGCACTGATAATGTATCACTACCCCTAAAGGCGTGGATAAGTCTGCCACTCTTACTAATCCATGGTGTGAAATTGCAAAGCTAATACCTACAGTAGCGCCACCAATACCCTGTTTCACTGAAAATAAGACAGTGTCTTGTATTAATTTTTGCTCCCAAAGATGCGCTAGGTCTTATTTTCAGGGGACGGCTTATTTTTCCATACCCTTTACCACAACACAAGGAACAAGTTTGTGAAGTGGGCCCCCAGCAACTCTGAAGACCCCTGTGATTGCTAGTTTATGTGCACCAGGATTAACAGTGGGCACTGCCTTAAATGTGCTCTGACATTTGCCTACAATGGGCTGATTGAGCCCCCTGGTGGTAGAGGGCAGGTGTCAGCACCAGATCAGCAGAGACAGGGTGGGCGTGGTTATCGTGATAGACAGCAAGGTGTCTGTAGTAATCAACACAACCTGTCTCACGTGGACTTAGGGCATTTGCTACTTGGCCACAGTGTCCCTAGAAGTGAAATAGATGGGAAACCTACTAAATGTTTACATGATCCATGGTAGACAACTAAAAAGGAGGTGGAGAAAGGAAAAATAATAATAATAAAGAAATGGGTAGCGGGGGCACAGGGCAGTAACCCACCCAAGGGGAGGGTATTGTTTATATCTCCACAGGGAAAGAGGGACCAGACTTCAACCCAGTGCTCCAAGATGTGTGAATGCAACATGCCGGCGTGGAGTAGGGAGCCAGTGGAGAGGTCTGGGGGGCTGGCCCCAATCCCAAATTCTCAGTAGACACCTGCCCCTCCCCCTAGAAGAATTTATTTCAAAAGACGGCATTGAATTTGCAGCTCTGGGAGAGGGACATATCTGATCGGAGCACACGGGAGCAGATGAACCGGGAGGAGGAGAGAGTGGAGAACATCCTGGCTCACCAGTCCTTGAGGATAAAGATCCCAATTACAGCAGCCGGTCCACAGAGAGGACCACATGGCCAGCCCCACTATAAGACATGACGTCCCTCACTGACCCATAGCCCTACAGGGTACAACACTGGAGACACGGTATGGGAATTGCACCCAATCTGATCCCGCCACACCGAGGCAAAACATTAAGGGGGTGTAACAGAACAGCAAGGGAATGGAGCGGCAAGGTCCCCAGGGAACGCTGAAGGTGGACTTTGGGGCCAGGGTGTGGTGCCCCAACAGACTGGACTGGAAAACACTCCTAAAGGCCAACAAACGAAGAACTAACTACAAGCTTTTCTTTCCTTTTCTTTCTTGTTGTGTTTTGTTTTCATTGGTTTATTGTTGTTATTGTTTTGTTGTATATTGTTGCGTGGTTTTGCTCTGTCTTGTTTCTGAACATATTATTATATCTGCAGGTCTGTCTAAATAAGATAGGCTGGATGAACAATCTGGAGGAGAAAACAACGGGACCAACATACAATTGATGTATGTATGGATTGTGATAAGAGTTGTATGAGCCCCTAATAAAATGATTAGAAAAAAAATGATAAACCAAAAAAAAGGACATCAATCCATACAACTATTAAAAAAAAGAAAAAGAAAAATCACAGCAAAAAGAAAAAAAAGATAACTGAATTTCAAATTATCTTTTCCATTCGATTTTTTGCCTTTTCACTTTAATAATGTCTTTTGATGTCTTAATCACAACCAATCATTGGTCTTTTCCTTTACAATTGGTTTTTGTCTTTTGCTAATAAGCATTTTCAAATGATTATGACGATATTCTGCTGTTATCTAGAAATTGTACATTTAACTCTAAAACCCATTGCTTTGGCGTTGACTCAGACTCATGGAGACCCAGTCTGTCTGTACGGAAACAGATAGCAGAGCATTGTGGATTTGAAACACTGACTGTATGGTTAGGAGTACCTTATCCTTCAGTGCTACTAGGCTATTTTTTTCTTTTAGGCTTTTTTCCTATGATCTAGAATTGATTTTCTTGTACAAGGTAGGGATCAAGTTCCACATTCCATCTCTCCTCTACTGACAAACAATTGATCTAGCACTATTTATTGACAAGAATTTTCCTAATATTATTGCTCTTTGATCGGAAGGCTGGGGTGGGGGTGGAGTGCCCGAGTCTTAACTACACACAGATGGGTCTGTTCCGGATTTTCCTCTTCTGTTCGGCCGGTCTGTTTGTCTATCGTCGTTTTAATTACTATCGTTCTAGAATGAGTCTGGATCATTGTAAAAGGCTACGGTTTCAGGTCTCCCTTGAGAATACGCGGAACCCAAACTCTAAGCCTGCGAGGTTCCCTCCGGAAGACGAAGGCTGGAACGAGAGGAGGCGGAACCTGTCCAAGCCGAGCGCGGTGATAGGAGAACGCCCGCGCGCGCGCGCAGTCGACACGCCTGGGATTGGACAAACGTGCGTAGGAGGGTGACGTCACTTCCGAGGCGGGAGGGTGAAGTCGTTTGACTTCCCTTCAGTTCGCTCGTGTCCTCGGAGAGGAAGGGGCCCGGCCCCGAGCGTGATAAGCGCGTTTGGGTGTCCAGCTCGGACGAGGGGACGTAGCCTGGTGGAGAAGCTGAGCAGACGGTGAGGACTCCGAGGGAGTGCCGGCCCCTCAGGCCGGCTTCCGGGGCCTGGCCGTGGAAGGTCTAGGCGCCCGTGGGTCCTCAAGGACGCTTCCACCCAGGCAAGTACCTCCGAGCTTTCGTTCAGCCATCTTTTCGTCGGGGAACCAGTGTCGGTGGTTGAGACGCCTCGATGCCCGAGTTTCCGTGCTTAGAAATGGGTTTCCTGCCCCACTTTGGAGAGGACACAGCGCCCCAAATGCTCTCTCTGTACGACTCGTTTATGTCCAGTAGTCAAGTGGCTGTATTCTTGGGGCCCACGGACAAGCGCAGGAGGCTGAAGGGTATTTCCAAAAACAAGAGGGCTACTGCCTTTCAAAACGTCTATGCAAGTGGCTATTTTAGATATCTTCCTCCTCGAATCCTTATTCGACTGTGTTCTGGTGTGAGAGCTTGAGGAAATAGCTCACACCTGTTTCTCCTCTGGCTCCGCCACCGTATTCATAGGGTTGTGGTGAAGCCTAAGAGATTGTGCATGAAAGGTACCAGGCAGTGTCTGCCCCCATGGTACCCTTTGGATTTCTTTCTTTCTTTTAAAAATCATTTTATTGGGGGCCCGTACAACTCTTATCACAATCCATACATACATCAATTGTGTAAAGCACATTTGTACATTCATTGCCCTCATCATTCTCAAAACATTTCCTCTCCACTTAAGCCCCCGGAACAACGCCCTCATTTTCCCCTCCCTCCCCGCTCCCCTCTCCCTCATGAGCCCTTGATAGTTTATAAATTATTATTTTGTCATATCTTGCCCTGCCCTACGTCCCTCTTCACCCACTTTTCTGTTGTCCCTCCCCCAGGGAGGAGGTTATCTGTGGATCTTTGTAATCGGTTCCCCCTTTCCACCCCGCTTTGGATTTCTTAGGGAGCACTGGTGGCATAGTGGGTTATTTGTTGGGCAGCCAATAGCAGGGTAGGTTCTTTGAACCCACTAGCCAAGGCTCTTTGCTCTCTAAAGATTCACAGTCCTGGAAAGCCACAGAGGCAGTTTTACTTTCTTCTATACTGCCACTGTGAGTCTGATTCAACTCGATTTCAGTTCAGTTTGGTTTTCTAATTTCTTAACTTTTCGGTGTAGTGATTTGCAAGTTAAGTTACTTTTGAAATAACTTCATGTAAATGTTTAATGAACATAACAATGGTTTCTCCTAGTGGCCTGGCCAGGAAGTGCTTTTCATATTTCTCTACCTTTATGGGGGGGAAAACACATAGGAAATTACTAATGGTAAGAGAGATATTTAGGTTAGTGATAGTTAGGATTAGCAAGAAGAAGGGTATTTACCCGAAGGGCAGAGAAGGGAACAAACTTTTCAGCACCCACTGAATAGTTTTAGATATTGTTCTTTACCACGAAGAGTAGTATTACCATGTTTTTACCGAAGAGGTTACTAAAGCTAAGATTGCACACAGCACATAAATGGGGGTGAGGCAGCCTTTTAGATCCAGGACTCCCTGCAAAACGTACGTACATTCTACAACAAGGGCTGCCTTTGAAGGCATTAAAAATTGTTAAAAATAAAAACAAACTAACCCATATTTAAAAGGCCACCTGAAGCCATGCCCTAACATGACTTACCAACTTATCAAGAGCCACCTTTTTCTTAAGATAGTGATGGTTTTTACTTCTCATGAAGCTAATGATGGGAGGGTGTGGAAATGGAAGGCAGGGGTCATGACTAGGCTTGTATTGTAAGGTATGAGAGTGGGTAACAATGATCACCTTTGCTTACACTCCTCAAGATGGCATGGGCCAGTTTGCAGATTAGCAATTGACTAAAAGTTATGTAATTCTATTAGGGTTAGCATTAAAGAAAGGGCTTATAAAAATGAAAATGTCTTTATGATGGTAAGATGGGTTTTGCTTAGGAAAAAGATGTGTTTAAATTTTTTTTTTTTGCTTTTTAAAGATTTATTAACAAGTGAATAAAAAGATACATTTTTCATTATCTTACATTTGTAGTTATTTATATTGGTACTTATATTTGCTTCGTAGTCAATGTTCTATAATGAGGTGTTTTTTTTATAATCGGGAGTTTAATTTTTAAGAAGCAGGACCACACAACTTGATAAATTTTTTCTTCTTTGCATCATTTGGAACCTCTATGAGACTGTAATTTTATTCTAGTATATCAGCTCCTAGGGAGGTGGAGGTTTTTAACTATAGAAAATTAAGATTCTGAAGAATCATTAGAAAGAATCTTTGTTTTAGTCTTATTCGCTGCCCCACTCCACTCCTCACCCCCTGTTGAATTGATTGGAATCTGGTGGAAATACTCAAAGATTTGTTAACAACCAAATCAGTTACTGTCAATCAGTTCTAACTCAGGGCAACCTGATGTGTGTCAAATCCTCTCTCTAGGGTTGGCAATCAGATTGTTAGGACATCCTGTGGTGCATTTTGAACAGACTCCCAATGCCCAACCATTTGGTTAGCTGCCATTCAAGGAACCCAAAATAATAGTTACCGTGTCCTATTTATGACATAATGTGTGACTTGATAAATAAGAACTACTTAAAAGGGATGTATTGTTTTAGTCCCAGTTTTACAGATAAAAACATTGAAACTCAGTTAAAACAAGGTAGGTATCCAGTATCTAAAAATCTAAAGGAGGAGCAAAACAACGCTGGGCCATGTACTGGGGACTAAGAGCCCTAGTGACATAATGGGCTACATGTTGCGCTGTTAACCACAAGGTCAGTAGTTTTTTGTTTGTTTGTTTTTAACATTTTATTAGGGGCTCATACAACCGTTACCGCAATCCATACACACATCAATTGTGTAAAGCGCATTTGTACATCATTCTCAAAACATTTTCTCTCCACTGAAACCCCCAACATTAGGTCCTCATTTTCCCCCTCCCTCCCCGCTCCCCCCTCCCTCATGAGCCCTTGATAGTTTATAAATGGGTATTTTGTCATCTTGCCCTGTCCGACATCTCCCTTCACCCGCTTTTCGGTTGTCTGTCCCCCAGGGAGGAGGTCACACACAGTTCCATGTAATCGGTTCCCTCTTTCCTACCTGTTCTCCCTTTACCCTCCCTGTTTTGCCACTCACATCACTGGTCCTGTAGGGCTCATCCGCCCTGGATTCCCTGGATTTTCAGTTCCTATCTGTACCAGTGTACCTCCTCTGGTCTAGCCAGACTTGCAAGGTCGAATTCGAGTCACGGTAGTGGGAGCGGGGAGGAAACATTTATGAACTAGAGGAAAGTTGTATTTCTCATCGTTGTTACATCGCACCCTGACTGGCTCATCTCCTCCCTAAGACCCCTCTGCAAGGGGATATCCAGTGGCCTACTAATGGGCTTTGGATCTCCACTCTGCACTCTCCCCATAAGACTGTCTGTTCTCATAAGGTTTCAGTCTTGGAAACCCACAAGGAAAGTCGTGCCCTGCCCTGTGGGATCACTAGGAGTTAGAATCACTATGACTTGATGACAGCAAATTTGTTTAGTGTTTTAATTGGGAGCATAGTGTGTACCAGGAAAGGGAAAAGGGCACTGGCATGCTGGGGAACATAAACGTGTAGGGTGCATTTTGGCAGTGAAGCTTAGAGCTTCCTTTTGGGGAAAAGGCATTTGCTGTCAAAGACAGAGCCTGCTGCCATATCCAAATGCCCTGGGCTAAGGAGCTCTAGTGGTGTAGTGGGTTAAGCATTAAGCTGCTAACCACAAGGTCAGCAGTTCACCCGCTGCTCCATGGGAGAAAGATGAGAGAAAGGCTTTCCCACTCCTGTAGGAAGTTACAGTCTCAGAAACCCACAGAGGCAATTCTGCCCTGTCCTGTAGTGTTGCTAGGAGTTGGTATTGATTGAATGGCAGTGAGTGTGAGTTTTGGTAAGGACAAGACGGCTGGACTGAGGTGTTGTGAGTTTTGTTTGAAGCCCTGTTGTGGTGCTCTGATGTTATGGATTCTGGATGTGCATTGCTTCAGGAGAACTTGGTGTACTGTACACAAGGATGTGTAAATAGATACATTTGTATGTGATTATTTTACATTCAGAAACATGCTTGACTTTATGAACAGGTCTCCTGCAGAGTTCTCTTAGATCGGGGGTCCTCAAACTTTTTAAACAGGGGGCCAGTTCACTGTCCCTCAGACCGTTGAAGGGCCGGGCTATAGTTTTAAAAAACCCTATAAACAAATTCCTGTGCACACTGCACATATCTTATTTTGAAGTTAAAAAACAAATGGGGCAAAAACACCCGGCAGACCAGATAAATGTCCTTGGTGGGCCGCATGTGGCCCGCGGGCCCATAGTTTGAGGACCCCTGCCTTACATACTACCAAACCAAACTCACTGCCATTGAGTCAATGATGACTCATCATTGTGGGTTTCTGAGCGTGTAACTGTCTATGGATGTATGTGAGGTCCAGCCCCACATTCAGACAGGTCTTGAGGGGCGGTTGTGTAATTGAGGGGTAAATTAAAGAGACATGAGACAAGGCATGCGAGGACTCACCTCTTCCAACTGAGTCTGGAACCAGAGTGAGGGAGTAATGTATTCTCACAAGCTTATATAATCTCCAGCATACAAGCCACAGTAAGCACCTGCATAATAGGAAAGTATTAGAGCAGTGGTGACCCCAAACCATAAAATTATTTTCGTTGCTACTTTGTAACTGTAATTTTGCTACTGTTATGAATCTGGTGACCCCTGTGAAAGGGTCGTTTAACCCCCAAAGGGGTCGTGACCCACAGGTTGAGAACTGCTATATTACCGTTTCCCCGAAAGTAAGACATCCCCCAGTTTTGGCTTACAGTTTTGACTCTCGCTGAAATATAAGGCATCCCCCCAAAAATAAGACCTCCCCGTAAATAAGGGTTTGGATTGTTATGATATTCCAGAAGATGATGACATGACTTTCATTGAATAAATGAGTAATTGTACCATAAATTGTTGTACATGGAAATAATGGTAGTAACAATAAATTCTTGATACTGTAGGGTTCACAGTTTGTCTGGTTATGCTGGTTTGTAATGACAACTACTACCGTACCGTATACAGGTAATAAATTTCCCCCTTTTTTTTGTTCAACAATAAATGTGTATCGTATTCTTCTTCATGGAAAAACAAGATATCCCCTG